CTGCCCCCCCCCCCCCCCCCCCCCAACCCCACACCCCCTTCATCGCGACGCAAAGAACAACTACCTGAAGCGTAGCTTCAGTCGGGGAGGGAGTGGAGAGTTAAGATTGGGCTTTAACCCAAGTCGACAACTCTGCTGTCCCTAATAAATATGAAAGTTCCTAATGAGAAATATGCGTGACTCACCGTGACACAAAACATCACGAAAGTCACGTAATTGTATTAACTGAAGTTAATCGTGTCCATTGTGTCACAGTTCCAAACAAGATCAAGATCGTCAAAAGCAGTTGGCTCGGCAGAGGTTGGTCACGTGGCAGCAGAAGGACCACTCAGAAATGGATAAAGTTAAGGAAGAACTGAAAAACCTGGAGACTGGAACTAAGCCAGTGTCAGTCTCCAGTGATAACATTGGAGCATTGCAGGTAAGTGCCGCTACCAACGTACAAGGCTTTGATTTTGCAGCGTCTATTTAACATTGTTACGAATATTTCTTGAACAAAGGAAACCTAGCGAAAATGGGCTGCGTTTGCAGAACAATATTCGAAGTGAGGAAGGAACGCGTTAGAAAATGAGAATTGGCAAAGGTGGTGAAGACGGAAATGGCCAAACTTCAAAGCGTGATCCTCGCGTTTCGAGTTTTGGGTTGGATTTCTCTAAAATTTTATAAAATCGTGTTGCAAAAGCAACACCGTTATGTATATTTTATACAACTTTTTGTCCACTGACTGAGAGACGGTTAGCTGCAGTTGTTTTAAAGCAAGTTTTGTTTTGATTTCTTCAGTGAATAAAGCGGTATTGTGTGTTTCAAAGTTATCAGTGACCATTCATATGACATTATCTCGTAGGAAGCGGTTTTAAAAGAAATGGAACGCAAGCATTTGTGCGAGATGCTTGTTATGGAACGTTTGATCAGCGAAGAAAAAGAAAGTGACCTCAGAAAGGCCACAAAACAACTAAGCAAAGAGCAACAACAGGAAAGGCTCTTTGAGTTGAAGGTTTGTACGATCAACCTTTGCTCTTTACTGTGGTTTTGTTAAATGAAGGAATAACAATTTGCGAAGGTTGCAGTTTTTTTCGAAAAAAATAAATCGTTTACATTGGTTTTAAGTCATCATACGAGCTTCGCTAAAAGGGATATTGGGCGTTTTAAGCGAAGGCTATGTTTTTCAAAGTTTCTTCACTTTTCTTGCATTATCTCTTTAGGGTTTCATGGCACATAAAATGTGTTGTCATAAAGATTTTGCGAAGGTTGAATTAGACTTTTAAGTTAGCAGCTGACAGAGTGCTTTCAGTTCAAAGTAGGTTTTGTGCAATGTTAGCGCACCATTTGAGTGTTTCAGTACATATATTCACGAGTAACATAAACCTTCAAGGGGTCCAAGTGCAATTTGCAAAGATCTCTTCATCTCTCCTGTCTCAATGTTGTATGATTTTGGTTTAACTTGCAAGGAACTGAGAAAGCAGTGGCGAGAGTCTGGGCCAGAGGAAATGACGGAGACCGCTGACGAGCAGGAAGCGATATTGCGGGAGGGCGTCGGAATAAAGCTTGAACTAAGTCGTCAGGAATTGGAACAGAAGGCTGTAGAGGAAGGAAAGGAACTGGGGTCGGATGACAATGCTGTGGCTCTATTGGCTGCTCTTCAGCAGCATCAGGAACAAGAAGCTGAATATCTGATGCGAGACCTTGCTGTTAAGGTATCGTGAAGATTTAATTTAGCCTTAGAAATTCTATTACTAGCTCTCACTTAAACTGTTAAGTCTGTGGATGAAACCCTAGTGTGTGACCATTCAAATGAAAGCTCATATGGTTTTATTTATTATGCAGTACAAGATGGTTCTAACTTTTGAGCCTGTGGATGAAACCCTAGTGTGTGAAAAAACATGAAAAAAAAAAATCTGAATCTTTCCGATTGAAAACTTAACTTGTTATTCAGTTTACCTCCTTTACCTTTATTTTAAAATAATACAATTGATCTTGTAGAATCCTATGGTACTCAAACAACTTCAAAGTGTCCATACGATGGCTTGCCGAGAGCGCTGGTACGACAACCTGGCTGCCTGTGTGCTAGGTCTAAAAAGGACGCAAGCTCGCTCTGCTGCCGAGGAGTCTCCAGAGCAGGAACTTGTAGAGGCTCTGGAACAGAAGTATGACGCCCTGAAGGACAAACTACTGACAGAAGCGCTGATGAAGCAGATGGGAGACGCCGAGTGGGCGGCGCTATCCGAGAGGGAGAGACAAGCCAAGTTACTGAAGCTTAAGCTGCAGGAGAGGAAGCTGAGACAGGAGGGAAAATTAGACGAGGCTTCCAGGTCAGAGGGCTATCTTGTGTAGCTTGCTTAAGACTAACCTAGAAGGAGAATGGGCGTATAAGTACTTCCACGCCCTTGGCTCTCTCGCCCTAAGTTTCGTGTTTTCCCGCACTTTCCGCTGGTTAGGCGTTTTCCCGCGCTTGCTTCTCTGGTTACACATTTTTTGCCGCGCTTGTCACAGGTTTTGTGTTTTCCTGCGCTTGCTACGGGTATTTTTCCCGCGCTCTCCAAGGGTAACGTATTTTCCCGCGCCTGCCACGGATGACATGTATTCCAGCGCTTGCATAGGTTTCACGTTTTCCCGCGCTTGCGGCAAGTTCCATGTCTTCCCGGGCTTGCCACGGATATGATGTTTTCATGCGTCTAGCATAAATCACATGTTTTCCCGCGCTAACCATGAGCTATCTACGTTACTTCGTATCGAATACTTTTGTGGTTGCTTAAGTTTTGGTTTTACCAGCGCCGTGAGAATTCCTCTGTAATCCTGAACTTTATCATTCCATCAACAGGCTACTTGGCGAGGGAATGAAACATGACGCGGCCTTGCGAGCTTTAATGGGCGAGTCCAAAGCGCAACAAAAACAGCGCTTGCAGGAACGACTCGAGCAGCTCCGCAAGTTAAAACAACAAGGAGGCGAAGTGGACGAAGGGCAGATGGCTGCCCTGGAACAGGTGGAAGCTGAAGGCGTTGATACAGTGGATGCTGAAGTCTTAAATCAACTGATCGAGGAAACCATCACTGATACGGAAGAAGTCACAACGAGCACGCTACTGAATGATTTATCAGTAAGGCAAACTTTTTCTTCTCTTGCATCCGCCTTCCCCCACCCCCACTCACCTCCCTACCACATTTTGTTCCACCCCACTTCCCTTTGTTCCTTGTCTCTTTCTCTCTCTCTTTTCCCTATGTCTCGTTTTCATATTTCTATTCCTCCGTTTTCGTCTTCTCCCTTCTCCCCCCTTTCGTCTTTCTCTTTTCCCCTTTTCAGATCCCCTCTCTCATTTTTTTTTTATTTTCTTATATTCTTCGCCCCGTTTCCTTGTCGCAATTTTCCCTTCCCTCCTTTTCACTTTGTCTCTTTCCCCTTTCTTTTCTTCCCCCTTTCTCCCATCGCCCTCTCCGTTCCCTAGCATTCTCCTTCCCTATTCCTCCTTTGTAAACCCCGCCCCTAACCTCACAATCTTCTCCAAGTCATCTCTCACCATGATAACTCTCTTTTCACTTTCAGTCCCAATTTGAAGAAGAAAAAGAAGCTCTCCTCAGAGCCCTCCGTGACCAAGACGAGAGATTCGGTAACGAGAGGAAACGACAGTTGGAACTTGCGAAACTGAGACGAGAACAGCGAAGACTAAAACAGGAAGACAACTTTGATACCGCGGCCATTTTGCTTGGCTTAGCCAAACAAGAACGGGCCGCTAAGGAAGCGAGGCAAGTTACCTCCGTCAAAGAAATGTTTCATAATCAGTTAAAGTTTACTTTGTGTGTTGTAAATCCGATTTGAAAGTAAACGTTATTTACGAGCATTTTCGACACACAAATCATGTGCATGTGCTGTAGAATCTCTCTTTGCGGACACCACGTTATAACGGACAATTCATTTGGTCTCAGAGAAACCGTAGTTAATATAAAAAAAGTCCCCGCGTTTATTGCACAGACTCTTCTAAATCTCGATACGCAGTTCTGTCCAAACAGTTTCGACTGTACTTTTACCCTTATTCATCTTGGTTTGTTTCCAATAAATTGACTGTTAACATGGTGTTTTAGATTAGTCAGTGCAAGAAGCTACACCCAGCGGGAGTAAAACTAAGCCTCTTTCGGATACTAGTCAATCTATCTGCCACTTAACCTACATGAGACTTCAAATTTGTAAATTGATGGCTGTAATGTCAAGTAGGTTATATGTGAACTTTGTGGCGCGTGATGATGAGAACACTGTTTTCCATTTCTTTGCAGCTATGAAAAGGACCGTGCTCGCCAAGAACAGTTAGCCCGTGAGCGTATTGCGGCCATGAAAGCTCGCAGAGCGGCCAAGAAGGAAAAATCCGAGGAAGAAGCTCAGAAGGAGCTTGAAGAGAAACTGCTGAAGGAACAGGAAGAAGATAACGAGGTTGACAAGAGGAACGCGCTGGATATGGAACAGGGAGGACTGGCACTACTACAGGAAGCTATTTTGAATGAAGTGGAGAAGAAGCACTCTTCAGAACAGGAGGTACGTTTCTGGGGTGTGGGAGGGGTGGGCTTACTTTGATGTAGAAATGCGTTCTGGGCGGAAACGTATCAGGGTTGAGCCCTGGGGTGGGCCCAGACTTTTTAGCCAGATGGGTCCAGGAGTCCTGTGGACGCGCCCAGTTTTTGAAGAAAATTTTTCTCATGTTACTTCATAAATTGTTCATTTGAGTAGTCCCTACAGCAAACTTTGGACGTCCACTTTACATGTAAATATCCTGGCTAAAAGCAAGGAACTTTTTTAGCCTAGGTTTGTTGGGGAGTATTTCCGAGATAGGGAAGGCTTGAGGGGTCTTAGGCGAGGGAGCTTCAAATAAATACCTTGTGCCCAGCCGTCAAATAAAAGTTTAACTCTCAAAAATGAAAGTCAGAATCACAAACAAGAAGTCTACAGTCGTTAAATTGAGATCAGAGATATGAAGCGCAAAACGTACTCTGCACTCTGAGTTTACAAAAAGGGAAAATTTTATATGTATCAGAAAGACCTAAATTTTTTATGGTTACTTCGATTACTGTGACTCATTCTCTCTTCAAGACTGAACAACATGTAACTTCTCCTTATAATATCAATACAAAGTCAAACAGGCAAATAATGGGAATAACAAATCTCATCAACTAGCGTTATTGTCTTGATGAACACACCAATTCTCAGAACCAACACTGATTTGATGTATGAAAAGATATAAGGAGAATTTATATTTTCATCTGTTTCTGCAGGCACTCACAGATTTGCTGGCGAACGCTGAAGCGGATCAGGAAGCTCTGGCCGCGGCGAGGTACTTAAGCGAAAGTGAACGACAAAACAGAGTGGATGATATAGCTACCGAGAGGAAAGCCTGGAGAATGGACGCGGTCAGGGACGCCATGCAAGCGATACCTGATGATCTACAAACAGAGGTTACTTGAAATCTTTTTTGTTTACTGATAACTTAGGGTTTGCCTCCAACGCAAAGGGTATTTTGGCTTGTTCACTAAAAAAATGCTCCGTTTTCAAAATGTCTTCCGTCCACACTAAAACTCAAAGCCGGCGTTGTCAAATTCCTCCGATAAATAGAGCTGCATTTTCAAATTTTTCCGGCTTAGTGTGTAGGGGGGCCTTAGTCGACTTGAAAACGGAGCAAACATTTCAAGTCTGGTTTGATTTTGTTGAAATGCGCAAAACTTGAGCAGCAACCAGAAGGGGAAACACTTGTTTACGTCTTGGTAAACTAGCCATGTAACAAGTATGAAAACCTCGTAAAATTTTCATCAATATTAGCTCGTAATTTGGTGGGTAAAACAAAATCAGTTCAAATCCTGCCGAAGTCAAATATTTTTTTGGTTTACGTCGCGTGGACTCATTTCTTTGCGGTACTCTGAAGTTCTACAGGAACTTTTGTGTTATTGGCTAGCTCTTCAATTTACCTGCACATAATTTCTCCCATGGTTACATTTTTTTTTTTGGTTCGAATAAATTCCACAGGAAGAGAAGAAGTTGAACGCAACTCGCATCGCCGAAAGCCGAGCGAAGCACATGAAACTGCTCTCAGATGCGCTGGTTCTTCAGATAGAGATGAAGCGAGCCCAGCTACTATCAAACGGGGTTGACGAAGACAAACTCCAAGAAGAAATCTCTGTACTTCTCATGGCTGATCTACAGGAAAAACAAACGACAGAAAGCAATGCAGTGGGAAATGTTTTAAGCGACAAGGTCAGTCAAGTTGAAATGCGACCCGCGCAAAAAAGGCGGGAAAATTCCGCACACGATTCCATATTTGGAAATGGACCGTTCTATTATATGCCTGGTTTGCTCACTCTGTAGTTGTGAGATATTTTTGACGATTCTAAATCCACTTTAATCGTCGCCAATCTCATCCATCGTTGCCCGATTGTAGCTTGTTATTAGGTCTTTGGTGTTTTTCTTCCTCATAAAATCATTGTTTTACTATTCTTTTTACTTGAAGATTATTTTGTACATAAAATGACATCGCTTTTAGACACAGAGTTCGCCAATTCTGTTTGGTTTCACAGGACGAGACTGTGTTGGCGCGTGTCAGAGCAGACCAGCGCATGGCACGCCGGGAAGGATGGATGGACAACTTGGCGGCCACTTTAATGGGTTCCCGTCCTATGAGAAAAAGAAGCTCTACTATGACGGTAAGATAACTATTAACTAACGAACATCGAAATTCTCCCTACCATTTCTCATTCATTTTATGGACTTCATGTAATACCCCTTGTACGCCCGCGTTTCCCTGTAGCTATTGTAGCTCATGGGTTCAACTGCCAGTTTTTTCCCACCCTCACGAGAACTGAATTTTTATCTTTTCTATTTCTTGTTTCTTGTTCGAGAGTAATACTTAGAAAGGACCCACATTAAGACATTATCTGTTGGTTGGTAATAAGGAGAAAATGATTGATGGTCATTTTTGAGAGACTTCATCGATAATTCAAGAACATACCCTCTTTTAACAGCCATCTTCCACGATGTCAAACCTGGCTGAAGGAGACGAAGAGGAAGTTCGGTTGGAGGAAGAACAAGAGACCAAGTTGGCAGAGATGGAAGCTGAGATGGAAAAAGAGAAAGAAGCTCGAAAGCTAGCAGGTGCCACGGATGAAGAAATACAGAAAGCACTGGAGTTGTTACAGAGACAACATGATGCCAAGAGAAAGGTAAAGCTCTCAGACTCAGGCTAAAAGTGTTCCGCGTTTGTCGCGGTTTTCAGTTGTTTTCCCGCCATAATATACACATACGCAACGTATCTCAGGCTCTCAGCTGTTTTCCCGTCAAAATTAATCCGCGTTCATCAAAGCTCTTAGGTTTTCCCGCCGTATTGTGCGAATTCGTCACAGAGTCCCGTCGATTTCCCGCTATAATGCGCGGTAACCGTCACAGCCTTCAGTTGTTTACCCGCTATGATTTGCTCCGTTCGTCGTCGTTTCCCACGGGAGTTGTCTTGGGATCAAAACTTTGTAGGACATACAATGCTCTCCTATGGCTTATCGCAATATGTGGAACATACCGAGTAAAACGAAATGATAGACACTTTATCGCTTTTCTCGCCATCAAACTTTAACTCGTGAAAGCTTGACCATATTGCAGTGATTGAATGAATGAAAGAATGAAAGACTTCATTAAATCCACTTCCATCCGCAACATCATCTGTCATTCTTAGTTGCTAATAGCCTCCTGGCATTTTTTGAGGACTGTTCTATAAAAAAAACCGTTATTTGAGTTTTCCTACAGTCTAGTTGTGTTTTGAGCTTCTCAAAATTATGTCCGTTTTGACTATCTGTGTTTGTTTTCCTCAGGCGATGGCGGACGCTGTGGAAAGGCAGCGCCAAATGACGCGGCAGAGACTGGAAGCGAAGCGAAGGAAGCGAGAAGAACAACAATACGAGGAAGACATGGCTGCCTCTATTGTGACAATGGCGGAGAAACAATTTGCGCTCATCCGAGAGAAGACAATGCTGAGGAGGGAAGGACAAAAAGACACTGTGAGTGTGGAATGGCTATTGGAACAGGGAAATTCTCTAATGAATTAGTGGTGTTTTCCATTTCAATTTAGCAAAACAGAAAATCAAATCCACACTCCTTTCCTAAAAAAATTGCGGAAATGGCGAATACAAAAGCCTTGTCCGAAATAAATTTTATATATTACCTAGAATTAAGCAGTTTATTCTTTGGTATTATTTATGTCAGTAGCTGAATATAATGTAAAGACAACTTGGAATGCCAAAACCATGGAACATCCATTGCGCTGTTCAAACTGTCCATAAATCCCAGAATTTGTTTATCTCGCGTTGTATTTGAAGTAGATGGGCAAGAAATGTAACAAGATGTACAACACACGGACCCAGCCGTTTTACTGTCTTGTTAACATTTCAAGCAGTATTCTCGTTGCCGTTACCATCGTAGTTTGCTTAAACTCTCCCTTATCNCAGTGGATGCTGAAGTCTTAAATCAACTGATCGAGGAAACCATCACTGATACGGAAGAAGTCACAACGAGCACGCTACTGAATGATTTATCAGTAAGGCAAACTTTTTCTTCTCTTGCATCCGCCTTCCCCCACCCCCACTCACCTCCCTACCACATTTTGTTCCACCCCACTTCCCTTTGTTCCTTGTCTCTTTCTCTCTCTCTTTTCCCTATGTCTCGTTTTCATATTTCTATTCCTCCGTTTTCGTCTTCTCCCTTCTCCCCCCTTTCGTCTTTCTCTTTTCCCCTTTTCAGATCCCCTCTCTCATTTTTTTTTTATTTTCTTATATTCTTCGCCCCGTTTCCTTGTCGCAATTTTCCCTTCCCTCCTTTTCACTTTGTCTCTTTCCCCTTTCTTTTCTTCCCCCTTTCTCCCATCGCCCTCTCCGTTCCCTAGCATTCTCCTCCCCTATTCCTCCTTTGTAACCCCGCCCCTAACCTCACAATCTTCTCCAAGTCATCTCTCACCATGATAACTCTCTTTCCACTTTCAGTCCCAATTTGAAGAAGAAAAAGAAGCTCTCCTCAGAGCTCTCCGTGACCAAGACGAGAGATTCGGTAACGAGAGGAAACGACAGTTGGAACTTGCGAAACTGAGACGAGAACAGCGAAGACTAAAACAGGAAGACAACTTTGATACCGCGGCCATTTTGCTTGGCTTAGCCAAACAAGAACGGGCCGCTAAGGAAGCGAGGCAAGTTACCTCCGTCAAAGAAATGTTTCATAATCAGTTAAAGTTTACTTTGTGTGTTGTAAATCCGATTTGAAAGTAAACGTTATTTACGAGCATTTTCGACACACAAATCATGTGCATGTGCTGTAGAATCTCTCTTTGCGGACACCACGTTATAACGGACAATTCATTTGGTCTCAGAGAAACCGTAGTTAATATAAAAAAAGTCCCCGCGTTTATTGCACAGACTCTTCTAAATCTCGATACGCAGTTCTGTCCAAACAGTTTCGACTGTACTTTTACCCTTATTCATCTTGGTTTGTTTCCAATAAATTGACTGTTAACATGGTGTTTTAGATTAGTCAGTGCAAGAAGCTACACCCAGCGGGAGTAAAACTAAGCCTCTTTCGGATACTAGTCAATCTATCTGCCACTTGACCTACATGAGACTTCAAATTTGTAAATTGATGGCTGTAATGTCAAATAGGTTATATGTGAACTTTGTGGCGCGTGATGATGAGAACACTGTTTTCCATTTCTTTGCAGCTATGAAAAGGACCGTGCTCGCCAAGAACAGTTAGCCCGTGAGCGTATTGCGGCCATGAAAGCTCGCAGAGCGGCCAAGAAGGAAAAATCCGAGGAAGAAGCTCAGAAGGAGCTTGAAGAGAAACTGCTGAAGGAACAGGAAGAAGATAACGAGGTTGACAAGAGGAACGCGCTGGATATGGAACAGGGAGGACTGGCACTACTACAGGAAGCTATTTTGAATGAAGTGGAGAAGAAGCACTCTTCAGAACAGGAGGTACGTTTCTGGGGTGTGGGAGGGGTGGGCTTACTTTGATGTAGAAATGCGTTCTGGGCGGAAACGTATCAGGGTTGAGCCCTGGGGTGGGCCCAGACTTTTTAGCCAGATGGGTCCAGGAGTCCTGTGGACGCGCCCAGTTTTTGAAGAAAATTTTTCTCATGTTACTTCATAAATTGTTCATTTGAGTAGTCCCTACAGCAAACTTTGGACGTCCACTTTACATGTAAATATCCTGGCTAAAAGCAAGGAACTTTTTTAGCCTAGGTTTGTTGGGGAGTATTTCCGAGATAGGGAAGGCTTGAGGGGTCTTAGGCGAGGGAGCTTCAAATAAATACCTTGTGCCCAGCCGTCAAATAAAAGTTTAACTCTCAAAAATGAAAGTCAGAATCACAAACAAGAAGTCTACAGTCGTTAAATTGAGATCAGAGATATGAAGCGCAAAACGTACTCTGCACTCTGAGTTTACAAAAAGGGAAAATTTTATATGTATCAGAAAGACCTAAATTTTTTATGGTTACTTCGATTACTGTGACTCATTCTCTCTTCAAGACTGAACAACATGTAACTTCTCCTTATAATATCAATACAAAGTCAAACAGGCAAATAATGGGAATAACAAATCTCATCAACTAGCGTTATTGTCTTGATGAACACACCAATTCTCAGAACCAACACTGATTTGATGTATGAAAAGATATAAGGAGAATTTATATTTTCATCTGTTTCTGCAGGCACTCACAGATTTGCTGGCGAACGCTGAAGCGGATCAGGAAGCTCTGGCCGCGGCGAGGTACTTAAGCGAAAGTGAACGACAAAACAGAGTGGATGATATAGCTACCGAGAGGAAAGCCTGGAGAATGGACGCGGTCAGGGACGCCATGCAAGCGATACCTGATGATCTACAAACAGAGGTTACTTGAAATCTTTTTTGTTTACTGATAACTTAGGGTTTGCCTCCAACGCAAAGGGTATTTTGGCTTGTTCACTAAAAAAATGCTCTGTTTTCAAAATGTCTTCCGTCCACACTAAAACTCAAAGCCGGCGTTGTCAAATTCCTCCGATAAATAGAGCTGCATTTTCAAATTTTTCCGGCTTAGTGTGTAGGGGGGCCTTAGTCGACTTGAAAACGGAGCAAACATTTCAAGTCTGGTTTGATTTTGTTGAAATGCGCAAAACTTGAGCAGCAACCAGAAGGGGAAACACTTGTTTACGTCTTGGTAAACTAGCCATGTAACAAGTATGAAAACCTCGTAAAATTTTCATCAATATTAGCTCGTAATTTGGTGGGTAAAACAAAATCAGTTCAAATCCTGCCGAAGTCAAATATTTTTTTGGTTTACGTCGCGTGGACTCATTTCTTTGCGGTACTCTGAAGTTCTACAGGAACTTTTGTGTTATTGGCTAGCTCTTCAATTTACCTGCACATAATTTCTCCCATGGTTACATTTTTTTTTTTGGTTCGAATAAATTCCACAGGAAGAGAAGAAGTTGAACGCAACTCGCATCGCCGAAAGCCGAGCGAAGCACATGAAACTGCTCTCAGATGCGCTGGTTCTTCAGATAGAGATGAAGCGAGCCCAGCTACTATCAAACGGGGTTGACGAAGACAAACTCCAAGAAGAAATCTCTGTACTTCTCATGGCTGATCTACAGGAAAAACAAACGACAGAAAGCAATGCAGTGGGAAATGTTTTAAGCGACAAGGTCAGTCAAGTTGAAATGCGACCCGCGCAAAAAAGGCGGGAAAATTCCGCACACGATTCCATATTTGGAAATGGACCGTTCTATTATATGCCTGGTTTGCTCACTCTGTAGTTGTGAGATATTTTTGACGATTCTAAATCCACTTTAATCGTCGCCAATCTCATCCATCGTTGCCCGATTGTAGCTTGTTATTAGGTCTTTGGTGTTTTTCTTCCTCATAAAATCATTGTTTTACTATTCTTTTTACTTGAAGATTATTTTGTACATAAAATGACATCGCTTTTAGACACAGAGTTCGCCAATTCTGTTTGGTTTCACAGGACGAGACTGTGTTGGCGCGTGTCAGAACAGACCAGCGCATGGCACGCCGGGAAGGATGGATGGACAACTTGGCGGCCACTTTAATGGGTTCCCGTCCTATGAGAAAAAGAAGCTCTACTATGACGGTAAGATAACTATTAACTAACGAACATCGAAATTCTCCCTACCATTTCTCATTCATTTTATGGACTTCATGTAATACCCCTTGTACGCCCGCGTTTCCCTGTAGCTATTGTAGCTCATGGGTTCAACTGCCAGTTTTTTCCCACCCTCACGAGAACTGAATTTTTATCTTTTCTATTTCTTGTTTCTTGTTCGAGAGTAATACTTAGAAAGGACCCACATTAAGACATTATCTGTTGGTTGGTAATAAGGAGAAAATGATTGATGGTCATTTTTGAGAGACTTCATCGATAATTCAAGAACATACCCTCTTTTAACAGCCATCTTCCACGATGTCAAACCTGGCTGAAGGAGACGAAGAGGAAGTTCGGTTGGAGGAAGAACAAGAGACCAAGTTGGCAGAGATGGAAGCTGAGATGGAAAAAGAGAAAGAAGCTCGAAAGCTAGCAGGTGCCACGGATGAAGAAATACAGAAAGCACTGGAGTTGTTACAGAGACAACATGATGCCAAGAGAAAGGTAAAGCTCTCAGACTCAGGCTAAAAGTGTTCCGCGTTTGTCGCGGTTTTCAGTTGTTTTCCCGCCATAATATACACATACGCAACGTATCTCAGGCTCTCAGCTGTTTTCCCGTCAAAATTAATCCGCGTTCATCAAAGCTCTTAGGTTTTCCCGCCGTATTGTGCGAATTCGTCACAGAGTCCCGTCGATTTCCCGCTATAATGCGCGGTAACCGTCACAGCCTTCAGTTGTTTACCCGCTATGATTTGCTCCGTTCGTCGTCGTTTCCCACGGGAGTTGTCTTGGGATCAAAACTTTGTAGGACATACAATGCTCTCCTATGGCTTATCGCAATATGTGGAACATACCGAGTAAAACGAAATGATAGACACTTTTTCGCTTTTCTCGCCATCAAACTTTAACTCGTGAAAGCTTGACCATATTGCAGTGATTGAATGAATGAAAGAATGAAAGACTTCATTAAATCCACTTCCATCCGCAACATCATCTGTCATTCTTAGTTGCTAATAGCCTCCTGGCATTTTTTGAGGACTGTTCTATAAAAAAAACCGTTATTTGAGTTTTCCTACAGTCTAGTTGTGTTTTGAGCTTCTCAAAATTATGTCCGTTTTGACTATCTGTGTTTGTTTTCCTCAGGCGATGGCGGACGCTGTGGAAAGGCAGCGCCAAATGACGCGGCAGAGACTGGAAGCGAAGCGAAGGAAGCGAGAAGAACAACAATACGAGGAAGACATGGCTGCCTCTATTGTGACAATGGCGGAGAAACAATTTGCGCTCATCCGAGAGAAGACAATGCTGAGGAGGGAAGGACAAAAAGACACTGTGAGTGTGGAATGGCTATTGGAACAGGGAAATTCTCTAATGAATTAGTGGTGTTTTCCATTTCAATTTAGCAAAACAGAAAATCAAATCCACACTCCTTTCCTAAAAAAATTGCGGAAATGGCGAATACAAAAGCCTTGTCCGAAATAAATTTTATATATTACCTAGAATTAAGCAGTTTATTCTTTGGTATTATTTATGTCAGTAGCTGAATATAATGTAAAGACAACTTGGAATGCCAAAACCATGGAACATCCATTGCGCTGTTCAAACTGTCCATAAATCCCAGAATTTGTTTATCTCGCGTTGTATTTGAAGTAGATGGGCAAGAAATGTAACAAGATGTACAACACACGGACCCAGCCGTTTTACTGTCTTGTTAACATTTCAAGCAGTATTCTCGTTGCCGTTACCATCGTAGTTTGCTTAAACTCTCCCTTATCAGAGTGAACAAAATTATTAGTTACACAGTTATCAATTGGTTAGTTAGTAGCGCTAGAAAACCGCTCTAATGCTTTTTGTTATTCTGTGACAGCTAAATGAACGATTGGCGCGTAGACGAGCGGAGCGAGAGAAGAAAAAAGCAGAGGAAGAAGAGGCTAGAAGAAAGCAAGAGGAGGAAGAGGAATCCAGAAGAAAAGCTGAACAAGAAGCGAAGAAGAGAGAGGAACCCAAGAAAGCTGAGGACTGGCCGTTACCGGTGCGGTGACTTTTCTTTACCGCTTAGGCTCTATGAGTAGCTCAAAATCACCACCGTATTCGTTATCGTGTTCATTGCCGTGTTTGTGTTTTTGTTCGTTATCGTATTCGTTTTCGTGCTCTTTAGCGTGCTTATCTTCGTGCTCCTTATTCTGACGAAATTCGTTATCGTGTTTATTGCCGTGCTAATCTTCGCGTTCCTTATGAGTGTTCTTATTCGTTATCGTTGTTTTCCCGTGTGTGTTCGTTATTGTGTTGGTGTCCGTTATCGACGGGCAGACATCTTAAGATTAAACAAATAAATATATAGTCACGGTCATCTGCACATTTTTTACGTACAGTATTACTCTTTGTGTTTTGTTTAGGGTGGCTTTGCTATGAAGCGAGAGAAGACTGTAATAGACGTGGAAGTGTCCGAGGAGAAACACAGAGAAATTGTTTCATCTTTGCTCCGCGAACACACCAATGTTGGAATGAAGTTTGAACGCGAGAGAACTCGACAAGAGGAAATGGTAAGTCCAATTAACTTAGCCCCACTTTGCAGCACTGTTAGTCGTGTTAGTCTATTAGTCGTTGGGAAAAAAAAAGCGATAGCGGAAACGCGCCGCGAAAATTACAGTTGCAGCAACTCTTTGAAATGAAACACTACATCTGATAAAATCCTGTGTTTGGTTTTACCTTTCCAAGGCTTTCTGATAAAATTAAATAGGCGAACAAAGATATTTTTTGTTTTCAGCCAGTCATTTGTAATCCACGGGCGAAATGGGTTTTGCAGTTGCAAGTTTTCATGTTTTTTTTTCTTTCCAATTTCTAACCTTTCCTTCCTGTTTAGTTGCGAGCCCGTAAAGAACGGAAAAAGAACAAAATTGAACAAAAGCAGGAAGAAGTGGCGACTATTCTGGGCCTGGGAGAAAGACAGAAGACATTTGTGGAGCAACAGAAGAAAGTAAGTTTTTAATTACTACATTCTTTCCTTTGTCTCTTGGCAAGAAAACTTTCGTTCTGTTTTTTTTTTTGAGTTCTTGATTTTTTTTAATTATTGATTTGTGTTTAACTCTCACCATTACAAATCCATTTGGTTATGGCCTCCGCATTCCTATCCCGTTTTATTTCTCGCCATTCTGTCTCTTTTTCTCTTCGTCTGTTATTCTTACTCAAAATTCCTTTTTCTTGACTTCGCTAACGCTGTCTGACGTCTTTATCCTTCACGAGGTTAAATGTCTTTTCCTATATTTTCCTATAGGAAGAGCGCGAGCGTCAAATCACGATGGTTCGTGAGCGAATCGCGCGTGTTCGCTATGAGCGCACGATGACAATGCGAGAACCGAAGGACGAGAAAGCCCAGGGATTCGAGAGTCTTCTGACAGAAGAGGAGAAGGCGGGACTCAGTGAAGAGGAAAAAATGAAACGAATAGCTGCAAAAATGGAAGAGAAATTCAAGAGTGAACAGCGCCGGGCGTCAACAGTTGCAGCGGTAAGTAGTTAAATACGCTTCGGCGCAGATATGTTGCGCCAAAACCCCTCACTCCTTCTCCCTCGGGAAGTCAGGTAATATCTGCTGTAGCGCTTGTAGGAATCTCTTGTTTTTAAGGGCGTAAAATATTGTAGTGTTCACCTTAGGATCCAACCAACATTAATTAGAAGTGAGAGGGAGGAAAAATTGTCAGAATGCATAAATTTGCGCTAATTAATAACTGAGCGGTGCTGTCCAAATTAGACCGTCCGAGATACGGTACCTTATTAGGTAATGTCCGATATGGATAACAAGAAGACACGTGCTACAAACTCAGACAACATTGTAATTTTGATTGACAGCTAGCTCCTCCGGGCCAATCTCTGAGTGCCAGCTCAGCCGAGGCCTCGGAAGACGAAAACGCTCATGCGGAACGCTCGTCCCAGATCCTGGACGAAAAGAGCCGACAAAAGAAACTGAAAGAACGTATGGCCTCGCGCAAGAGGGAAAGACGGAGATCTGTCGCACCACCCCCCTCAGACGACGCTGGGGCCACGGGTGGGGCTGATTAATACAGGACCTGGTCGTAATGCCTGGATCGGCCCCTGCGGTGGCAAGACCACGACGCACCAGAAGACAACATATTTATTTGTAGGATTATTTATTGTTTTTAAGCCTAGTGTAAGCATGCCAAGAATGAACATTCGTCTGAATAGTTTTGTAAATAGCTTTTTTTTTCAGTTAAAAAAGTTTAGAGACATCCGTTAAGCAAAATTCGTATATTCAATTTCGTATTGGCCGCTTTTGAAAGGATAAAAGCGTTGTAGACTGAGGCCCAGTCCACACTACGCAGAAGAAATTTCAAAACGTTGCTTTATTTCTACGGTAGGCCTACCGTCCACACTAACCCGTCACCAAACGGAGCTTTTCCAAATCGCTCTTCAAACCGGAGGAATGTGAAAACGCCGGTTTTGCGTTTTAGCGTGGGGGAAAAAACATTTTGAAAACGGAGCTATTCGGAAACGATTACATCACGATGATGTGATTTTAGTGACCGAGTTTTCTTCGAGCACGAATTCAAAATGAGCGATGATTGCTGCGTTTTCAAATTTCTCTGGCATAGTGTGGACGCCGGGGGCTTAAGGGTCTGGATGGTGTTTATTTGACAGCTGAGAACTGGCTTAAACTGTAACTGTCAGCTGACACATGGAGTAACTTTGGAAAGTTGTTATAAAAGCACTTAAGAGGTGACACAAACTTACAGAACACAAATCGTAAAATGTTTCTTGTTTTCAGACAGCATTTTTTGTGATATTTATGGTGTTGAAAATGACGGAATTATTTTTGTAGTAAACGCAATAAGCATGATTTTCTTATTAAAAGCAATTACTGTCATTGTCTTGTTGGGGTCGTTTTGTTATGGTCGCGCGTCTCTGTTATTAGGCCCAAGACTGCGTTGAGGAAGTTATTATTAACTACTTTGTGTTAGTGACACGAGGGGTCAGGGAAGTGGCATTTCCCTACTCCACAACGCCCCCTCCGCCAACTTCGCCAATCCCAAAATCACTGTGCGATTAAATCTATAATCAAGAGATTGTTCGCACACCACCGGGTGAAGGAGTGGGCCTCTTGCGGACTGTTGTGTGACCGTGTATACTTTAGAATCCCGTGAGCTAAGGACGTAAACGAATTCGGTTCGATCAAGTGACATAATATTAAGTTCGATGATATTCGGTTGACAAGTTGTAATCGAGATTTTATTCTATCTTAAAAAGATTACTATGCTAGTTGTTTGGGAACAGGCGAAAGGACAGCTGAAAGGAAATCCTACGACCTCTGTAACACCGGTCGGATGCTCTAACCACTGAGGGACAAGAACTTAGTTGTTAATCTAGGATCTTATACGAAGTATCCCATACTAACAAGATCCGTAGGACACTAATAGAATCTACAATCTTAGACGGAATAAAAATAGAAATTAAACCCCCATCCCTCCCCCCAAAATCCATGATGAATTTCGCGCGCAAAGCAAAACGTGCCATTTTCCCACTCTTGAAATGAGAGGGGGCGGTGGGGAAGGGGTGGTCTTAATTTCTCATTTGAATTGTCCAAGATTGTAGATAGACAACTTAGAGTGCCAGTGGTCCGACTGGTATCGCGGAGATCTTAGGTTCGATTCCCACAAAGTACTCTGATTTTCTTTGCAGTTGTCCTCTCGCCCGTTGCCAAGCAACGAGCGTTTCATACTTCTCACGGGTTCAGTACACCATTCCCGGCCACCATTAAGAAGAAAAGTTTATTGTTTTCACAGAGATGTTTTGTATTGATTCCTTGATCATACCTAATTGTTTTAACATATTGTCCACAACAGTATAGTTATAAGGTGTGCCTCCAGTGAGGTTGTGCGAACGTACCGACAACTAGCGAGGTACAACACGAGTGAGAGGACTTCAATAAAAATTGTGAAGTTTGCGAAGGACAGCATGCAGCTATTTGCATTCGCACCATCCAGAACAGCCGTGGGATCCCCTCTTGTCATGGTCTCCCCCCTCCTTGGGTGGGGCCCCTGGGAGCCGCAAAAACGTAATACCATCTGAGGAAATAGTAAGTGAATAGTTGTTTTGGTTACAAAACCAACTCCATCTAGATCTTTAGTTCCTGGGACACTGTCGATTGTCACGGCTGTCGTAAGAAGCAAGCCTGGAAAGTAACGTGCCACCG